GACCAAAATACACCTCTAGGACAATCTTAGGCAGCGGGTTGGTTGGTTAGAGGGCCTCCTGATATGGCTAATATCCTTTACATGTAATTATCTTAGTCTTCACCACCAGTTATTATTGTGTTCACAGAGGAGGAAACTAAGACTTAAGTGGGTTGCGTGGTGAATAGGATGTCATCTAGCTTTCAAGTGAAGACGTCTTAATTAGAATGTGCGGTGAATGACTCCACTGCTCACTGGGGTTGGGCACTGTGTCCGTCTGTCTGCAGGCTGGCTTTGCTGAAGGCTTCCCGTCCTCTCTGTCTTCTCTCTGAGGATGCAGAGCAAGCAGTGAGTTTTCTATCCTCAATTCTAGCCTGGCCTTATAGCCTCTGGCCTTTATCTGAAATATTTATTTATTTATTCATTATTTATTCAAATATTTATTTTTGAGAGAGAGAGTGTGAGTCAGGGGAGGGGCAGAGAGAGAGGGAGCCGCAGAATCCGAAGCAGGCTCCAGGCTCAGAGCTGTCAGCCCAGAGCCCGACACAGGGCTGGATCGTAACCTGAGCCAAAGTTGGATGCTTATCCGACAGAGCCACCCAGGCGCCCCTATTCGACTTACTTATGGAAGCATGAGATACGTACAAATAAGTGCACGAGAGGTTGTCTGGAGAGACTGAATATACAAACAGACAATGGCTGGACCATGTATAAAAATAGAACTCTGAGTAACAGCCGGTAGCAGCCTGTCCCCCCAAGCAACCCCCTTATCTGTAATAACGAGCCCAGGAAGCCAGCCTGCTGTCAGCCAGTCTTGTAAGAAACTAGATGGTTATATCTAGTCACAATTCAGGAAGCTAAACAATAACTTCTGTCACTGTCAGTCCCGAAGGGCCAGGACTTGATCAATAACGGACAGCTTCTCTACTTTTTGTCCCCGCTTCCAACTTAGGACCAACTAACGAAAGCTACATATGCTCTCTTAACCAATCATACAGGACGCTCCCCTTCCAGGGAGCCCATTGATAGCTTCCCCCATGCCAACAGCTCCCGATCAGGCACACCTGAAGCCTTTCCCCTTTTCCGCCGGGAAGCTCTCCCACTCCTCTGCCTACCTTTCAGTCCCGGACAAAATTGAAGTGACAGAGGCTGACTCTCTCGCCAGATAGCAAGCCCTGAATAAAGAACATTTGTTTTTCTCATTTAGTCGGTCTTTGTTTATGTCCACAGCCTTGATATGTGTAAGTCTATGGAATCAGCACCCTGATGGAGATCTGGAAAATGACAGCACCCTAGAGACTGCCTCTTCCCTCCCCAGACAGTACCCAGACGTCACCTGCCCCACTAACTAGAGACAGCACTACGCTGATTTCAAACATAATACATAAGTTGTGCTTGTTCTTGAATGAAATGATACAAAGTAAGTGGGATCATACAGTGTATATTCTTTTTTTTTTTTAATATTTTTATTTATTTCTAGGAGAGAGAGAGAGACAGTGTGAGCAGGGGAGGGTCAGAGAGAGAGGGAGATACAGACTCTGAAATAGGCTCCAGGCTCTGAGCTGGCAGTCAGCACAGAGCCTGACGCGGGGCTCGAACCCACGAACCGCGAGATCGTGACCTAAGTGCAAGTCGGACGCTTAACCAAGCCACCCAGGCACCCCATACAGTGTATATTCTTACAACTGGGGTTGAAAAGTATGCACTCTCGGGTACAGCCTATTTTGCCCCATATTTTGTTTTGAGCTTCATCTGTATTTTGCATATGGCGGTAGCTTTGTCTTTTGTATTTTTCTTTCTGGGTAGTACTCCTTTATCTGAGTACATCACTGTTTTATTTATTCATTTTACAGTTGATGGATTACGGTGGCTCTGCATTTCTTGAATTTTATGAATAAAATTGCAATGACCATTCTTGAATACGTTTTCACTGTAATTACCTCTCGTTTCTCTTACGTATTACTTAGAAGTGGAAGAGTGAGTCGTAGAGTAAGTGTGTTTACCTTTAGTAGATATTTGCAAATAGTTTTTCAAGATGACTGTATCAACTTGCCTACTAAGGGCTGGATTGCTGCACAGTCTTGCTGCAAAGTGGTATTGTTGGTCTTTAAGGTCTGCCCTTCTGGAAGCTGTGTATTATTATCCCTTTGTGCATTTGCTTTTCATTTTCCTGATGTGTAGTGTACATTCTTCTGTTTTGGTGTTTTGGAACAGTGTCACAAAAACCTATTTCTGCTATTTCTGCTCAGAGAAGAAATAATTACTTTATAGTAAAGCGGATCTGTGAGCAAGGACTGTATGTAGCATTGACCTAATATTTAAATACTGTTGACCGAGCCAAATAAGCAACCAAGTCCCTTGGCCTGTGTTACTACAGTTTATATCTACTTCTAGTGCCATATAAGGGGGAGGGAGAGTGATTTGGAATAATCTCCCGTACTTCCTCGACTCACATAAGTAAGTTATCAGTCTTTAAGTGTTTAGCCGTAGTCCTAAAGGTTGTGTAAGTTTCCGCTGGTGCTGTAGGCTATAACCAAGTGCGAAAACGAAGCCCCGGAGGCACGTCTCTGTGAGTGAAGCTCGGTAGGGGCAAAACCGCAAGTCACCTTCAGATCAATCAACAGAATGGGTACAGAAACTGAGATACAGGTTCAAGATGGAGCAGGTGTGATAATTAAGAAGAATGAGGTCGATCTGCATGTATTGACATGAAGCATCTTTAAGATACATTCAGTTTTTTTAAGAAGTTGTTTAGTGCGGTGCCATGGCTCACCAAATCTACAAATCTAAGCCAAGTGGTTTTTTAAAAAAATATTTATTTATTTTTGAGAGAGAGAGAGAGAAGACGAGCAGGGGAGAGGCAGAGAGGGACACACACACAAAATCTGAAGCCGGCTCTAGGCTGTCAGCCCAAAGCTCAATGCCAGGCTCAAACCCACAAACCGTGAGATCATGATCTGAGTCAAAGTTGGATGATTAACCAACTGAGCCACCCAGTGGCCTCTAAGCTAAATGTTTTCTAATGATAGTTATATGTATATAAATACATTGAATGGGTCTATAATGAAATACACCAAATCAATAACTATGGGACCTTTCTAGATGAAAGTGGACTTCAGTTTTATCCATGTTGCTTTGGATTTTTTTTTTTTTTTTACAATGAGAATGTTTATATACAGGCTGTGTCATTAATAGCAATAAAAACACGAATAAACAAAATGCAGCCAAGGTTCTATCAGAATGTACAAAATGTCTTTTTACCCTGCACAATGATAGTCAAATCCACCTCAGTATGGGCCAAGCCTTTGGAAGGTGATATTTTGAAAATGTAAACTTTGGGTTTGCAGGCAAGTCCTTCTTGCTGTTGAGTATATCTTTATGTGTATCTGGAGTCTATTAAAGGGTATTTGCTCCCAAAGCTTTAATACTAAATATGGCTCTAAAACGTAGATACATCTCATCTATCAGAATGTCATAATTGAGAAGCTTCAAAATAGCTGGTGAGGAGGGGCCTGTGGAAAGAGGCAGCGTCACAGAGTGCTATTGCCGATGGTGCGGGTCAGTAGAAAGTCTTTGAAGGGCACCTAGCAGCTAACAGAGTGTAGATACTAATCTCTGACCTAACGCTCTTACCGCCAAGCATTTACCCTACACACGTGTGTAAACACACATATGAGAAAGCACTCATTGCAGCATTGTTTGTGAGAGCAGAATCCTGGAGCTCTCCTGAGTGTCCGTACACTGACAGCATGGGCACCAATGAGTCAGTAACAGTAACGTGGATACGTGAAGATGGGCTTGAGGTGCAATCAGTTAGACCTAGTGACTTCCGCCGTTAAACAGGGAAGAGGAAGCGATAACCCTGTGTCTCTAACGTGGACAATGACGTGGATGGTTTAGGCATTAATGGAGCTAGAGATAGTTTAAGTTGTTTGTGGAATTATCTGGGTGAAGGTATCTAATAAATGCAGTTAATTCAGGTGCCTATGTGGAGAAGGGGAGTCAGTCGGAGGTGGGGGCGGTTGTCAAGAAGAGAACCAGAAGGAATGAGAAGGAAAAAGAGCGTGGAATAGTGAATATAAACAATAAAATAAGCATAAAATGGTCAGCCAGACCTGCCTGTCTTACAAACATGAGTTCTAAAACCTGAGAAATTATGTAATTGAAATGATTGAAGTTTTCAGTGATTGAAGCATGATTTGAACTTTGCACTGTAGGGCAATATTCTTTAAGCCAAAATGCCCCTGTCGTCAGAATGTGGGATTAGCAAAAAGACATCCAATGTAATGAGCCACTCTGACAAAATTCTGTGAAAAGTCAGAAATGTCAAATACCAGTGTCTGACAAGTCCCTGCAATATCTATAAAATGAGACTAAAGGTAATAATACACATTTACTAATGTAGATATTAATGTATGGGTCAAGGGCCATATAAAAATAATCCCATTTAGTCCTCATCAAATCCTTCAAGGCAGTTGACTTCCATCCCCATCCCATAGATGAGGAAGTGGAAGCTTAGAATGACTGAGTGCCTTACCCAAGGCCACAGCATTGGCAGGTAGGAGATCTTTCATAGAAACTCACACCTGGGGCTCCTCAAAATGTTTTTCCGGCCATACTGTCTCCCTTTGGGGAAAACATCACCTACCTATAAACCTAAGAGATTGTCTTCAATTTCAACCTGGAGAATCCTGAGGGTGAAGGAATTTGTCTTTTAAAATGGTACCCTAAGGACTCTGATGTAGGTAGTCCAGGCTCTGGGCAACAGTGCTTTATATGTTTTGAGGATAATAAACCATGTCAGTCCTACTAAATATAGTGGTAGTTATTATTATTGATTGCGATGAGAGTTTGCTTGGAAGGGACAGGTCAATTTCAATCTAAAGCCCTGAATGAATAGTGTGTGTGTTTACTGCATTTACAGGTGTGCATGGATTTTGATCTCCGCCTCTGTGCCATCAGGCATGGCCAGCCGTCTGGGTAGTATCCTTACCTCATGCAGCTGAATGGTTTTTTCTAAGAAGCACATAAGTTACAGACTTGCTTCCCTCCTCATTTCCTAGGCATCAGCAGTACACGGCTTGGTGTATGTGGCTGGATCCTGTTTTCCCTGTCTGTCCTGTTGATGATCATTACCTTCCCCATCTCCATATGGATGTGCTTGAAGGTAATACCCTGGGAAATAAGTTGGACTTCTCTGTATGAGCTGGTGAACCATTAAGACTAAATGCTCTCCTTTAATCTCTTAGATCATTAAGGAGTATGAGCGTGCTGTTGTATTCCGACTGGGCCGCATCCAAGCTGACAAAGCGAGAGGGCCAGGTAGGACACTGGGGGTGCCCCTGACAAAGATCATGGACACCTAATACTATAACTATTGCCACCAAAATTTCCCCAGCACCTTCTATTGAGAAGAAAAAACATCACAGGAAGTTGGAACTCTTGCCTTTCTGTTCAATTGAAGGATGTTGTTCTGTTATGCAAGTTAACTGAGTGACCATTAAACCGCTAGTTTGAGAGTTTGGAAATCTGGCCCTCCCTCTGAGAGATTCAATGAACATGAGCAAAACTGGCTCTGTTACATTGGCCAGATGTCCCTTATTACCAAGACCACTGAAAGAGTGACAGAAGAATGAGGGGAGGGAGTAAGTGGCCACGGTAGATGATTAAATTACTCAGAAAAGATGATTCCAGGAGCTGGTTTTTGATTCTCACTCCTCAAAAAGAGCTAATGGAAAAGTAAAAGGCAGTGTCCGCTTCTGGAAAGTAGGTTAATAGAAATATAGAGCTGGAAGCCATTGTCCAACTCCTTTGGCCAAAGGTAGTGTTTCTTTTCATCCTTTCTCTGCCCTAGAATGAAAAGTGCTCTAAATTCATGTTAAAAGGCTGGGATTTAGGAGGGGGGCGGCATGGGAAGATATGAGGTACTAAAACTCTAGAAGATATTGATTTAATTCCCACAACTTATCTTGGTCTGTATGTAGTTGAGCTATATGAAGTGGCTAATATTTGTTCTTGACTTTCAAACATGACAGTTTCATATGATAAATTTTAATATTTTGAAAGGCAAAGTCATCGAAAACAGCATCTTAGAAGATGCATGGAAAAGATGGGTTCTATGCAATACTTCTTCAATAACATTTGTTTCCTTCTCCTTATTATGACGTACTTGAGTAAACACATTCTCTCTCCAACCGGACTATCACCTCTCTTATTCACTGTGATACTGCAAGTGCTCTGCACTTGACCATGCACCATGGTAGGCACTCAGATATCTGTTGCATAAAAAAATATAAGGAATTTCAAAGGCAGAAGCTTGTTAAAGAGAGGTGGTCATTTCAAGTAGTATGATCCAACTTGTCTAATTCCATAAAGAACCTAAGAGAAAGGGTAAGAATTACTTATGATGAATGTTTTTATGAGTCTGTCCAGATAGAAGTGTTAGACTAATCGGGGCGCCTGGGTGGCTTAGTCGGTTAAGCGTCCGACTTTTGCTTAGGTCATGATCTCGCGGTTCGTGGGTTCGAGCCCCACGTCGGGCTCTGTGCTGACTGCCAGCTCAGAGCCTGGAGCCTATTTCAGAGTCTGTGTCTCCCTCTCTCTCTGACCCTCCCCTGCTCATGCTGTCTCTCTCTCTCTCCTAGAAATAAAAAAAAAAAAAAAAAGGAAGTGTTAGACTCATCTAACTCATGTATAACAGACCAAGGTTGACCCCTTGCTGGTTATGGTGCATTTGGTGAGGCCAGGTGTCTAAGGAGGGTAGAGTTGGATTTGAGAGAAGTACAGTAGCCATAACTTGGAGGACTCTAGAGAAAAGTGTATCTCTCTTAAATGAGTTTTCCCAGAAGATTTCACCACTAAATGTCCCAGGATAACTACTCTCGTCATACGTGTCTCTGGGGCTAATGAGTTACCTGAGAAAGCCATAAGAACTAGAGGGAAACAAGCCAAGTTGCTAACGGAAAACCTCTCCACCTTTGTAAATTGTCAATTATTCTTTAATAATGCAAGTATAATAATAAGTTTTGCCAATTCTTGAGCACTTAATACATACCTAGCTGTGTTTAGTACTTTATTTCTTTATCATGTTATATCATGCTTCATGTGCACCGCCATCTTCTAAAGATTAAGTAGCTGAAGCTCCGGAAAGTGATGTGAATGTTCCCAGATCCCAAGCCAGTAAGTGCTGGGGCTAAGACTTCACTCTAGTTTTAGGGATCATGACCTCAACCAGTGACCTGCCACCAAAAGGAAGTATCTTAGGCAGAAAAGTTCAGGGTCCAAAAGAAAGCACGTTAGCAGTGCTCTCTGTTGTATGACACACAACCTACAAACTTGTTTCTCCTTTGAAAACAAAACCAGCAGCCTAAAATCTTTCTGGTAAATGAAACTGGTTAGGTGTTGCCATCTCGCTGACCTCCCTTGTGGTTCTAATATTTGTGATTCTTGCTATTGAGGACATTTACCAGGCTAATGTGAAGGATTCAGAGGATTCTCAACTGAATTTTATTATCTCCATCCTTCTCCCACCCAGCCCCAAACCCTAATACCTCACAACTCAAAGAGAAGTGAAAATGTTTATAATTGGAAAATCCCACTATATTTGAACCAGAACACAGTTCTGCGGAAACTGCAGATTCTAAAGTACATTGGTTTGAGGGACTCTGAAATCTTGAGATTTAAATTCTACTATTTCTCTAGTGCTGTTGATGATGGGTGAGAATGTTGACAGTCATTGATATTTAAGGCAAAAAACCTATCACTTAAATTTTTGTATGGATACCTTTAGTAAGTGCACTGATTTCCAATATACCTTTTTAAATTAATGTCAAATTCAACCCTTGGATAGAGGTGGGTTGGATGTTTTAAAAATGAATCTAAAAATTAAATGTCAAGGATCTTTTTTAAGCTATATTTTCATTTTCATAGGTTTGATCCTGGTCCTGCCCTGCATAGATGTGTTTGTCAAAGTGGATCTCCGAACTGTTACCTGCAACATTCCCCCACAAGAGGTAATGCTGGCTAAAGAGAAAACACTAGAAATAAAACCTGTATCTTCCCCATTATATGGACACTTGAAATTTTACAATTTGTTTTCAAACTATACCTGCTTGAGGAGCTGTGGGTGGGTCCTAAGACCACTGGGCTTTGCTTTTCTGGTTGAGAATAAAGCCAAGGGCAAGGGCTAGATTACTATAAGACCTGGGAGGGGGAACGTCCCAGAGAAGAGAGAGAAAAGATCCAGTTGGCAGAGAAGCTGGGGTGGAGGACAATAGACAAGATGCTTGGAAAGGTCAGGTAAGTTGTATAAAGGAGCTGAATTTAATTTGGTGGAAGGCAGGGTTTGGTTATGATACTATCCTCGCTGTCACCTTTCCAGAAGATTCTTCAGTAACAGCTCCATCATTTATATATATAGTGATTGGATACAGCACAGTGGGTGGGCCTAGGGAAAGAGCAGACACTGCATAAAGCCCACTGGCATTTGGATTGCAAATAATTCTTTTCAGTTCTTAAAGCACTGTAAATAAACATCCAGGACCAGTAATTGGGCAACAAGGAAGAGAAATAGAGTTACTAATAACCAGAAGGATTCAGGAAGAGGAAAGAAAATGTGAGTAGAGCCCTACAATCTGGGAGGACAGAGATGATGAGAGGGTTATGAGTCAACGTTAGTTTTCTTCTCTCTGGTCCAGGAAACTCAGTCAGGATCCAACAGTCATGTCGTCATGGCACTGGTGGGAACTGAGGAGTCCTTACTTTAGGATTCAGCCTGTGTCATGAGAGAGTTCGAGATGCCCTGTGACTTATCATGGGTCTTGTCTGGCTCCATCATCGACAGTTCTAGATGGGAGAGGGGAGTTCTAAGTTCTGTTCCTAACATACTGCCAGAGATCTCTCACTGGCTGCAAAGCACCTTGTCATGTTACTCAGAATGATTAAGGCAGAGCCTCTATAAAATATAGAATATAGAACATCGTCTCTGTTTGACTATAGAACAAGGTCTCTGGTGACATCTAGGTTTCCTAAGAGGCACTGCTGTCATCAAATCTGATAAAAACTGAAAACCGAAAAGATTCAGGTATTAGGGAAACAAGTGCTCTACCTCTGTTTAGAGAGTAGAATTCCAGAAAGGTCCAATTGCTACGTTGTAAAATAGAAGTGCTTATTCTCACCATGGCCAATCAACAGCCTCTGCCTATGGGGTGGAGGACTTCCCTGAGATGACGTTACAGGGAAGAGTACGGACTACATATGTATAGGAATTTTGTCTCCAACTAGAGTGATATTCTTGAGCCAGGACAGATCGTTGGTGAAGCTGGCATGAGCTGTAATCAGGAACACTCCCTTCTGTGGAGAGGGATCCTCTCTGCCTGGCACTTTGTCAGTCGCTATGAAAGTCATAATAAACACGTGCTTCTCCCTGTTCTTGCTCTTCAGATCCTCACCAGAGACTCTGTGACTACTCAAGTGGATGGAGTCGTCTATTACAGAATCCATAGTGCTGTCTCGGCAGTGGCTAATGTCAATGATGTCCACCAAGCCACATTTCTGTTGGCTCAGACTACTCTGAGAAACGTCTTGGGGACGCAAACTTTGTCCCAAATCTTAGCGGGCCGAGAAGAGATTGCCCATAGCATCCAGGTACAGATGCTGGGAACGAGTACCCTTTATTGTCAGTTCATTCATTTTAATGATCAGTAATTAGCAAACATCAGCAGTTCAAAGAACCCCTCTCCTGTGCATTCCCAGGATCTCATGCAAAAACCACACACACACACACACACACATACACACACACAGCTGCTCTAAACATTGGGCCTCAGTTTTTGGTTTTATTCATTTCCAATCACAAGGTGATATTTGTGTATGTATGTATGTATGTATTTATGTATGTATGTATGTATGTATGTATGTATTTATGTATAAATATTTTTAGTGTTTTATTTTATATTTGAGAGAGAAAGAGAGAGAGACAGGGCATGAGCAGGGGAGGGGCAGAGAGATGGAAACAGAATCTGAAACAGGCTCCAGGCTCTGAGCTAGTAGCATAGAGCCTGATCTGGGACTCGAACTCACAAGCAGTGAGATCATGACTTGAGCCGAAGTTGAATGCTTAACCGGCTGAGCCATCCAGGTGCCCCGCAAGGTGTAGAATTAAACATTGGAGCAGGAGAAGGGGAGCCATAGAAATTGTGCGCTTTATCCATTTTCTTTTGAATTCAAAATTATGAGTTAGCATTGTTCACGTTAGGTTTTCTGAAGAGGTGAGAGTCCTTTTCAGTTTAGGTTACTCCAGAGGAGGGGTCTCCATTTCTCAGACGCCCATATGTTTCTGCATGTCAGTGGAACGTTAGAACGGGATTCAATGGAGGCAGCACCAGCCTGCCCTTCCTGGAAAATCTCACATCGTGCTACCCGTATCAGTACTAATATTTATAATAATCATAATTATAATATTGATGTAGCCACCTCACCTCTTGCACACCCCAGTTTAGAGACAGATTTCTGTATGTTTTTAAATCAATTATGTTTTGATTCTGAGCCTCCCTCCTGTAAGTTAGGAGGGAAATTCAACTTTGGTCCTTTGCATCTCCTGAGCCCGTGCTGTGGCATAAAGATCCCAAGGTTTTCTGAGAGAGTATCAGTGCTGCGTAACTCTCCAGGTCATTTGTAAGGGCCCTGCGAGTTTGACACAGTCTGGTCGCCGGCTTCTTGGGGGGGTCTCCCCATCTCCCAGGGTTCTGTAGAAATCATGGAAAGGCAAGAGATCTTGCCATTTGGTAGCACAGAGATCTCTACTATTTGTCTGATCTTACTCTTCCTCAAGGCATTTGTTTTTTCATCCCTCCCCATCCAGGATAACCGACATGATAGCCTCAGTGGCCTTAAGTTTTTACAAAGGACAAGAATATCTTTGATTATAGGCTGCTTGTGCTCTCCAAAAATAAATATCCCTGGCTACCTGTTTAAAACTGGCCACTGAGCAGAGGTTAAATGGAGGAAGGCACATAATATCTCAAAAAGTACCTTATAATATTTATTGAGTTATTGTGAGGCATTGGTAGATTTCTTACATATATTATCTCCAAGTCTCATAAAAATCCTGAAAGGAAGCCTTTTATAGATGAGAAAACTAAGAATCAGAGAGGTTAAGTAACTGGCCCAATGATTCACAGCTGCAAATGGCGGAGGCAGGATGAAATCCAGGAATGTCTGAGAAGCCAGTGCGTTGTGGCCTGCTTCATGTCAATGACAAGAAAATGTGGGGGATTTGCTCAACTCTAGATGGATGACGTATACTTCATCAGGAATCGTGTGGGGGCGAATCCTGATAGCTTTTGAAAGATCTATCAGGTTATGCTTCAATTGCTGGAAATGATTAATGAGGACTCCTATTCCTTTCCCAAACTGTCCACTCCAAATGCCGTGAATACAAAAGGGAAAAAAAAGAAGCAGAATTTATCCTGCAAATATAAAGCGTATAAGAAATCACCCCTATCTTCTCATCAATGTCCTTTCTTTTGCTTTGGAAACAGACCTTACTTGATGATGCCACCGAGCTGTGGGGGATCCGGGTGGCCCGAGTGGAAATCAAAGACGTCCGGATTCCCGTGCAGTTACAGAGATCCATGGCAGCCGAGGCTGAGGCTACCCGGGAAGCCAGGGCCAGGGTAAGGGCTACTCCGTCTACACTGCAAGATGTCTACCTTTGGAGCAGACAAGAATAGAGCTTGAATGGAAGATCAGGCTTTTTCAATTATTTTGATTAGAAAAGGGCTTCTTTTTCACCATTCTTACTGAGAATTTCCTCCTGAATTAAAAGATAATGGGCAGCTTAACCTACCTGGAGGAAGTTTGGCAATGGGCCTTGGGTCAGGAGTGACTTACCGAGGTGGGTCCTAAGTCGGGCTGCAATTTGGAGTCTCCTAGAGAGAACTTAACGCAGCAAACACGAATTCCTAGGCCTCACCTCGGACTCAGCGAAGCAGTCTCTTGTGGCTCAGGAATGTACATTTTTTAAAGCTAGAGACTGTGTGTGTGTGTGTTTTAATTACTGAAGTATAACTGACAGACAGTGCTAGGTTAGTTTCAGGCATACAGTACACTGATTCCACAATCCTTTACATTAATCTGTACTCATTGCACTAGGAGGAGTCACCATCTGAAGGCCAGCGATTCTGAGGTAGCCAACCTCGTGCGTGTCTTGTGAACATGATTGTTAAGTGTGTTAAGCAAACTGGATTAAAAGGGAGTGGTGGGGGTGATTAAATGCAATCCGGGTCAGAATCACAAGATGTGAGCATAGCCTAGCCTCGAATGCTTTTGAATCTGTTGGGCCTGTAGCCTTCACATCTGCGTGAAGATGGCTTTTCTGGCGTGTCAGAAACCAACTAAGAGGAAGGGTGCCTGGGGGCCTTAGTTGGTTAAGCGTCTGACTCTTGATTTTAGCACAGGTTGTGATCTCATGGTCATGGGATCGAGCCCTGCATCAGGCTCCACACTGAGCAGGGAGCTTGCTTGAGATTCTCTCTCTCTCTCTCTCTCTCTCTCTCTGCCCCTCCCCTGCTTGTGCATGCTCGTTCCCTCTCTCTCTCTCTCAAAATAAATGAATAAACATTAAAAAAAAACCCACTAAGATGAGAAACCCTTTGCATACCTTCAGAATCTTCCTTGTGAACCAACGCAAGCTTTCCTCTGCTCTCATCCCTTCCCTCTCTCTCATTAATCTGCAGAGTTCTAGCAGCTTCTTAGCGGTGGACTTTGGAGGGCGCTTTGCCACAGAGACAGGGACTGCTCATGGCTGGGCTGCAAGTCAGTGCTGGGCAGGAGAGAACTAGGAGGAGAGAGAGCTCTAAAGAGAGCCTTCTAGTATTTTCAGAGTGGCACTGGCAATCAAGAGCAGAGAGAGGTTCAAACAGTTCTTCCATTGTAAGAATGAGGCTAAGCTGGCAAGAGAATAAATGAAAAGCATCTCCTAGGATAAGTAAAAACAACAGAAAGAAGCCAGTTGGAGGCCTTGAATTTCAGACTTCTCTGAAATCTAACTCTGTGGATGGGCAAGCCCCAGAGGGACGCGAGAGCGTTACTAGGGCGGACAGCCCGGTATTAGTTTGGGTTAAAGTCAGGGCTTTGATTTTGTTTGCAAATGAAATGTAGGGACTCATAATTTGTAAAATCTCTCCCTGCTTCCTGCAACCTCCTCAAATTTCTCTGATCACATTAGGATGTGAAACTCTCACCCCAGCCAGGCCAGAAGTAAGTAGAAGAGACCGTGTGGGAAAGTGGGGGCTGGCAGGGAGGCGGGCATCAGTATGCAGCCGCCACAGCCGGAAACAGAAAGCCCTGGTTAGTTACACTTGTAAGCTTTGATTTCTGAACTTGCTTATTTCTGTCCGTTTAGGTCCTTGCAGCGGAAGGAGAAATGAATGCTTCCAAGTCTCTGAAGTCAGCCTCCATGGTGCTGACCGAGTCCCCCATAGCCCTGCAACTGCGTTACCTGCAAACCTTAACCACGGTGGCCACAGAGAAGAATTCCACCATTGTGTTTCCTCTGCCCATGAATATCCTGGAAGGCATTGGTGGTGTCAGCTACAACAACCATAAGAAGGTTCCTAACAGAGCCTGAGGGCTCCCTGCTGTAGCCAGCCAGTTGCTTTGGGAGCTGTTTCTATTCATCAGGAGAACCCAGCAGTTAGAAGTGGTGAGAATATCAATATTATTGAAGCAGAGCCACTCCCCAGCTGGAGTAGCGTTAGCAAGGAAGTGCCATAGAGGCTACAAATGATAATAATAATAATAATAATAATAATAATGAGGTCTGTGTACTACTTTTATTATTCAAGAGCATAAACAGCTTATTAGTAATCAGCTAGCAGGTCTTCCCTGATTTAACGCAGGAGCTGTTTTTGCAGTAGGGGAGGAAATCTTTGTGTGACTGCGACTAAGACTTAAGCTTTGTTTTTGATTAGTTTGGGGAAGCTCTCTAGACAATTTACAAAGTAACATAGGCCTCCTATTTATACTAGGTATTTGCTTTATAATTCCCAAGTAACTGTTTGCTAAATCTCCAATAATTACAACAACCCCCCCCACCTCAATGTTTGAAATTCTGATGGATTTTTTAAAAAGTTTACTTATTTTTGAGAGGGAGAGTGTGCGTAAGCTGGGGAGGGGCAGAGAGAGAGGGGAACAGAGGCTCCTAGGCAGGCTCTATGCTGACAGCAGAGAGCCTGATGCGGGTCTCAAACCCACGAACCACGAGATCATGACCTGAGCTGAAGTCAGCCGCTTAACTGACTGAGCCACCCAGGCGCCCCAATTCTGATGGATTTTGAAGTCCCAAGACTGAAGAGGCACTGAAGCTCCCAGCTGCAAGCGCATCGCCACCCCCAGGGCAGACTGGACTCAGCTCTCTCGGTGCCCATCCCCCTCCCCAGAATGGGAGTCAATGCGCAGCCGCCCGGCACCTTTGTCAGCATGTGGGACAGAGCACGGTGCTTAGATGTGAGAGTGCTTCTAACAGATTCCATGGGTTGAAATCCCTGGGGAACATCATCCTGTGGACTGCATGTTTTCACTCTATTATTAGTCCCAAGAGCCACCAGCTGTCAAGAATTGTTTGTAAACTCTATTCTCTCCCTCAAAACCCCAAAACAACCCCCCTCAAAACCAACACCAAAAACAGCAACAAAAAACAAACAACCAAAAAAACCACACACACAGAACACCTGCTAAAAATAAAGAAGCCATAGAACAGAATATAGACGTGATGTATTTAAAAATTTGCTTTGTCAGACACTTTTTGTTGCCATGGTGCAATTTTCTTTTGAGTTCTATTTTTGAGGATTTTTTTGTTCTGGGATTTTTTTGTTCCCATTTAGTGAATGTCTGCTATGTGTTACCACTGTGCTGAGCCCTTCATGGATGCCAAGAAGTATCTTTATTCTGCAGATGAGAAAGTGATGTCAAGAGGTTAAATAACTTGCCCAAGATCCTGCACCTAGCTTTGGGTTAGGAATTAAAACTAGATCTGACTCCCGAAGTCCTTGCTCTTAAACATCATGGAGTTTTCTTTGGGGGGAGGTCTGAGGGGGGAGGGGGAGGGGGAGCCTTCTCATTCCCTTTTTGCCTTTCAGTCTCTGGAAGTGTGGGTGTCCACTACAGTTTTACCCTGTGTCCAGGACTGTGAGAGCTTGCACACACATGTGCACACACTCCTTTTCACACTGCAAACATACTTCTTATATAACCCTCTACCCTCGCAACCCCCACCCCACACCTCCATCTCTGCTCTTATCCCCTCTATATGCGTCCCTGTCACATGTAGGTATCATCTGCATATAAATGCAAAATGGGGAACACACTCAACCTTTGGTTTTGTAACATGCTTTTTTCATGAAACCATATCATACTTGATATGAATTCTGGACAATTCACAGTCAATAAATTTTTTTTGGTAGATTCCACTGACTCTACAACTCTAGCACTCATTTTTAACTCCTTGGGGTTCATATTTTTCCTACTAAGCTAGATACTTGCATTTTAACAAGAATTGGGAACAGAAACTTATCACAGCTCATCCCCACCGGCCAGAATCTGAGTCGGTGAAGTCACACCATGTCGACACTTGGTGACCCTATATCTTAAGAACAGTGGTGCAGGCTTGGGACATCCGTGGTGCTGAAGGTCACCTGAGGAGAGACGATCTCCCTGTACAAGGACATTTTGTGGGCTCACTGCAAAAATCTCTTCCTAGCCTGTTCCAGAAACCCACAACTCTCCCTTCTTTGAATTCCAGGATTGCACTAAAAATGCCAGTCTTTCCTGTCAATGTACGGCAAACTCTAAACCCATGGCTCTCCCTGAAGGTCATGGTTCTCTCACTCCCTAGAAGATCCGTTTCAGAGGGCACAGATCCTTGGCCTGCGAGTGGGGGTGTGGGTGCTCTTTCAGAATCTCTAGGGCTGTGCAGATGTGATTGGAAAACTCTCTGGGAGATTCAAATTACTCCACTCCTCCCGCATTAAGCCTCATGAATTCTTTGACACTGCAATAGGCCATTTATTCTATCAGCTACTGAGTGCTGACTAAAGAAGTCCCCCTTGAAGGGAAGTATATTTGGGGGCGAACAGTACAGAAGAATCACGGAGAGTCGGAGCTCTCCTGGAAGGCGAACGCCAAAGATGATATTTGAAATACAGTAACCTCTGCCCCCAGAGCCAGGGGGACGTTTGGTTTTCTCCTGGGGGAGGAGAGCTGGGAGGCAGGACAAGCCTGCAAGGAGGAAATGCAGACCACTTCTTGGAGAGAGGGAAGCATCCAACCTCCACATGTAGGCACAGACCACGACAGTCCCCAAGATGGAAGCCAGCACAGGTGACCCCTGCCAGGACTCTCCCTGTTTGAGCAGCAGGTGTGGTGCGGCCTTGATCAGGGTGCCCGGGGAGGGGCTGGGGTCCCCCCCTTCGGATGCCGGGCCAGTACGGTTTGCAGCGGTTGTTGGCCTCACACACACTGATCCCTGAGTGTGTTTGGCTGAGCCTGACCTCGAACAGGGATTTCTGCAGGGGTGCGCTCTCTCCCGGGGCTTAAATGGGCAGCGGTAGGGGAGGGGCAAGATCCCCCTTTTGCTTTTGCTGTAATCCCTCCCTCCCCGACCTAATCAGCTCCCCAGGCTCCTAGCCTCTCTCTCTCTCTCTCTTAATCTTTCTGTCACACAATCCTTTGATACTAGAGTAGGTAGGCTTTTACCCTTTTCTCTTTCTTCTTGTCAGGACTTGCCTCACACAAAACTCTTACACAAAACTTGACTTTGGTTTTGAAAATGTTTCTTCTTACTGCTCTGGTTTTGGGTATAATTAAATACCATGGAGTCCAGATAAAAAATCCTGGCCCTTTCTCTAGAGTCTACTTTAAAAGAAATTTTTTTTTTAAGTTTTATTTATTTACTTTGAGAGGCAGAGAGAGAGAGAATGAGCAGGGGAGGGGCAGAGAGACAGGGAGAGACAGACAGAGAAAGAGAGCGAGAGAGAATCCCAACAAAGCTCCGTGCTGGCAGTGCAGAGCCGGATGCGGGGCTTGAACTCATGAACTGTGAGATCATGACCTGATCTGAAATTAAGAGTTGGATGCTTAACCGACTGAGCCACCCAGACGCCCCTAGAGTCTACTTTAATTCTGCCCCTAAGACAGATTCAAAGAGGGTTAGCCAATTCCTAGAGATTTATGCCTTTCATAGGTAAACCAAACAATCCAGAGTCCCTACCCCAACCACCTTCTTTATCCGCCTCTCAAACTCTGGGCTACTGTCCATCTGCCCAGTCCCCCAAAGACCTGGTACCAGATACTCAAAGACAGCCTGGGGCACCTGGCTGGCTCAGTCAGTTAAGCGTCTGACTTGGGGTAGGGTCATGATCTCGCGGTTCATGGGTTTGAACCCTGAACCAAGCTCTGTGCTGACAGCTCTGAGCCTGGAGCCTGCTTCGGATCCTGTGTCTCCCTCTTTCTCAGCCCCTCCCCTGCTCACGCTCTGTCTCTGTCTCTGTCTCTCTCTCTCAAACATAAGATAAATATAAAAAAATTATTTTAGAGACAGCCCTATGCCTTAGCCTCCATCAAAATTATTCCAATCAGCTAAACCTCATCTTGTCTATCTTGCCTTGGCTGTTTCTGTCCATAGAAACTACAAGAAAGGTTCTTGCCCACACTTTCTCTTGTTCCCTCTGACGCATGACTGACCCAGGGGTCTCTTGGGGTGTAATGTGCCATCTCCCCTGGGAGCCTGTGAGTACAATTTGCTTTCCTTTCAACGGCAAATGTTTCTTGAACTGTTGGCCTTGCCATAGCTGAATAATAGTAAAACTTCCATTTAAAAACACCAAATCATGAGCCTAGGGTTAATATCTCCACAGAGAAAGTACTTTTCTCCAATTTATCAACACAGAGCAGACACCTGTTTTCATGTGCATAAAGTGTCCCTGAAAATAATCCACTGTGTAGGTCATACCTCCAGAAATTCATGTCCATAAATTGTAGACAAAGCTTCTTTCCTTCCTGCCACTGCCTCTGAAGCCTTCTCCTGTGACACTTGGGTATTAACGATGCCACTCCATTTAGTGATCTCTTTAGAAGTCAAGCCAAGGGGCACCTGGGTGGCTCAGTCGGTTAAGCGTCCCACTTCGGCTCGGATCATGATCTCACAGTTTGTGGGCTCGAGCCCCACGTTGGGCTCTGTGCTGACAGCTAGCTCAGAACCTGGAGTCTGCTTTAGATTCTGTGTCTCCCTCTCTCTATGACCCTCCTCTGCTCGTGCTCTCTCTCTCAGAAATAAATAAATCACCCCCCCAAACAAAACATTAGAATTCAAGCCAAGTGGGGGTGACGGGGTGATGGGGCGGAAGGGGAGGGAGCTCCTGTCCTTATCAAAAGTGCCAGAACCATGTCGGGTCCCAGCTACTGTATGTTGTCACGTAGCACATGTGCTTCGGACTCTGAGGAAGTCCTGGGCAAGCACTTTTACCTCTGTTTGCATCCAGCTTTTCCCAAACGTACTCTCCCTGCATTGTCTCTGACCTGTGTCTACTGCCTTTGGATGTAACCTTACTCTGTCTTCTCTACCACCTTTAACCACTTTGCAGTTAGGCACATTTACATTTCTAGGATGAGATCTTGAAAGGCTTTTCGGTCTATTGTAGGATTTTCAAAAATTGTTACCAACCTTCCTTTGCAGCAGTTTACTGGGCTGGCTGTTGGGTAGGGAGGGCTCAGACTAGCCTAACCCTGCTCCTGATGACCTTTTCCCCACTAGTCAGGTCCACATTCACTCATTCTGGCTAAGGAGGGGGTTTTCCCTTAGTCTGGGTCCCTCTGGGGTGATTATGACTTTATGGCATGATCTTATCTCCCACTGTCAATATCCGGTGTGGCTGGATCATGAATCTTCCCTTCCCTGGTTCACTTTTCCAGTTTCCTGAAGGCCAGGATTTCTCCCTAGCAACCTGGAAATTTCCCAGCATACAGGCTTTTTTTCTTTTCTTCTACAGTGAAGATGGAGGGCTGTCTGGGTGGCTCTGTTGGATGAGTGTTTGACTCTTGATTTCGGCTCAGGTCATGATCCCAGGGTCGTGGGATCGGGCCCCA